TTGAGCATTTATTTGTTGTAAAAATGACAGCTTCTTCCCTTATAATAAAGGCTAGCTCAGTTTGATGAGTGAAGTTCACTGGTAGTGCATGTTCAGATTCTTTCTGGATATTTCGACACGACCATTGGACACAAACAACAATCTGTTTCGTATAAGAAGATATGCGAAGCAATCCATCTGAGTCCAGCTGAAGTTCTCTTCCTGACCGATGTGGAACAAGGTAATCGTTTACAAGGGAGAGATTATAGGCTAAGTGATAATGAATGTGTATCGTCCGTGCTTGAGAACAAAATCCGTCTGTGATATCTACTGTGGATCTCCCTGAACGAAGTTTCGGAGGTCTTTTCGGTGAAGCATACTTACAGTCAAGACGAATTTCGGGCACAATCGGTGCTTGGGTCGCGATAAAGTGCATCAGATTACGATCAAATTAGTGACATGAGGCCAGTGACATAATCTGTGAGACGCAGTGCCCCACTGAAGTACCCTTATGGCTGAAATTAGTATTGAGTGTGGGTGTGTTCTCACTAAAAAACCTCCATAATTTATTCAAAGAGGTCCGCAGCAGAAATAGAAGACGGTTTTATGGTCACCGTCTCAAAGACAGTCCCCGCGCTAGACGTATTCGTAGACGTCCTCCTTCGTTCTGGTAGTCTATCCGCAGTCACAAGGATTTTCCCTTTTTCCGGTTTCAAGGTAAGTAACGGAAGCGCTGCGACCATCATAAGCGGCAGTTCTGACGCCTCCCTAGTTGTCCCGCCCACCAACACCCAAACTATTTTCTGTCACAGGTTCAGCTTTTTCACCGCATTTTTTGCTGGACGGTTGGATCTGAGCCAGAGGCGACAGTGTATCGTTTTGCTGGCATAAAACGAGCGCGTACTTAGAACTTGTACAGTGATGCTGCAAGAAGTCCTACTTAGGGTGTCCTGCATGATTTTTTTTTCTTTTTCTTTCGTGGACAGTCAGCGTCTATGGGTTTCGTACACAACGTCACTGTTCGCTATATGCAGTCGCGGGGTTTGGTTTTGAGGCTCAAGGTTTAAGTCTCATTTCAACGGCCAATTCACCTGCCATCTTGGTAAGCAGATTCCATAGCG